TTTTTTTTTAAACATGTAAAGACTAAACTGCGGGTTTTCCTGAAAGCACATACAGACTAAAACCTGCTGTTCTTTACAGACACACAGACTAATAATAAAAATGCTTTTCTACAACAGACTGAACTGCAGTCCTTCCAACACAGATATAGGCAGCTGAACATCTGTCTATATAAACATATGCAATTATTGTTATTCAAACGCGTGCAGACTAAACAGCTGTTCTTCACACATGAAGACTAAACCTGCAAATAAGCATCAGACTAAATTGCACTTGACAGAGACTGAGCCAAGAATATGACATTGCACTGAAATGCTCGAAGGTTTAATTAAATCATAACAAATATGGTGCATGAAATATATTGCGGTCTAGTGACTCTCACCTCTAGATGACAGCGTTTCTCTCCTCGAGCTCTCGCGCATCGGTTCCGTTCACAGCCCCGTCAGGTCCAAACACACACCGGTGCAACCGGCTCCGCTCTCCTGCGCGTGAGCTGAAGCAGCTGGAGGCACTGAAGGCTGGAGAGGCTTGTGCAGAAACGAGCTTTATAAACGAGCCACCGGATGCGCAACGAGCTCTGATTGGACAGATCCTGCGCTGACCCCGCCCACAACATTTAATGAGTGTGGAAATAAGTGTGTTTACTTCATTATAGTTTGCGGACAAAATATTCTCCAGAAATGAGCTGAATGTAACAAAACTTCCCTTTTTGACCGAAAATGTCTCCAGAAATTGAATCTGACAAACCAAAACATCCTTCAATGGAAATGAATGAATAACTAAATAGCTAACTAACTCAATAAATAAATAAATTTTTATTTGCTTAAAATAATTAAATATAATATAAATAAATTATAATATATTATAATTAAAATATAAATTATCATATAATATAATATTATATAAATATTATATGTAATCCCATACGGGGAAATAAATATTTTCAAATATATATTTAAAATACGTTTCAGAATAAAATAAAAAACGGGCGAAAAATATATTTGCTAAAATATGTTTCAAAAATATTTATGTAAATACATGCTATATCTATTTTTTGTATATTTTTGGAAATATATATGTTTTAAATAAATATATTTTAAAAAGTATTTTGGCCCTCGTATATTTCAACCCAAGAAAATGCATTCACATATGGTATATTTGATGAAAAACTTCATGTTGTCTAAGACGTGAACATTCAACACATTTGAATAAAACACACACACACACACATGTATATATATATATATATTTATTAAGGTTGAAACTAAATATATTTTCGATTTCAAAAATTATTTTCATAATATATATATATATAGTAGATATTATATAAATATCTAATATTATATTTATATGAACACACACACACATATATATATATATATATATAAAGTCTACATTTGTCACAATTGTCTTTAAAAGATTTAAAAACAATAGAAGCTGACAATGTCTTTATTTAGATATCCATACTGTATAAATCTGTGTGTATTTGTGAATCATATTTTGCTCTTAAGCCACCAAGTTTAACCTCAGTCCATCTCTCGCTCTCTCTCTCACACACACACACACACACAGAAAGAGAGAGACACACACACACACACACACACACAGAGAGAGAGAGA